GGAAAGGTTCTCCTCCCTTGGCAACCAGGGCTCCACACACAAGTTTTCGGGTCCCTCTGCAGCTTTCTCTGCCTCGGCCAGGCCTCTGGATGCTGCAGAAACCCAAGGCACTCTTCTTGACCTGTGTGATCTCACCCAGGCACCGTTTGTGAACAACCCTTAAGTGTCATGACTCCCAAACACCGCAACTCGGTCCTGACTTCTTCCCTGAGCTCTAGGCTCGGATATCGAAAAACCTCTTTGACACCCGAGCCGGATGTTGAACTGGCTTCCCCAGCTTCCAACATCCAAAGTAGAGCGATTAGTTTTCTTCTCCCGACAGCTTCTCCCTCATTCTGCATTTTAGGAAAAACTGGCACCACCTTTCAGCCGGATGTTCAAGGTGGAAACATTAGCACTTTTGAATTCTCCTCTTGTTTCACACCACTCCTCCAACCCAGTTCCAAGTCCTATTTGTTGCACCTCCAGAATAGATCTCATCCTTCCATGTCCTCCCGTTTCTAGTGCCACCACCCTGGTCCTGCGCCGTCCCTTGACCGCATGACTGTAACAATCTCCTGACTGGCTTCCCAGCTTCTTTCTACTCCCTCCCTCCACCCTGAAGCCAAAGCAATCCTTTAAACACAAACTGGAAAATCAAGAAGACAATGCCATTTCCAATAGCATCAAAAAATTAAACACCCAGGTATGAATTTAACCCAGGTTCTATGAAGGATTTACACACTGAAAAGTGTAAAACATTATGGAAAGAAATTGAAGAAAACAAAAATAAGTGGAAGATATCCTGGGTCCATGGGCCAGAAGACTTAATCCTGTAAATGCGTCAATACTACCCAAAGTGATCTACATTTTCAGTGAAATCTCTACCAAGGTCCCAATAATGTTTTTTTGTTTTTGTTTTGCAGAAATAGAAACATCCATCCTAAAATGCATTTGGGATCTCAGGGGACTCTGCTTGGGCAAAATACTCCTGAAAAAGAATGAAGTCGGACAACTCACGTTCTTGACTTCAAAATTCACTACAAAGCTACAGTATTCAAAACAGTGTGGTTTTGACATAAAAATCAACATATACAGAAAACAGATCCCAGACATAAAACCTTGCAGATATGGCCAAATGATTTGCAAAGGTGGTGCCAAGACCATTCAACAGGAAAGGGACAGTCTTGCCAAGAAATGTTACTGAGAAAACTGGGGTTTGCATGAAATGAAGTTAGACCCTGACACCACAACTCAAAATGGGACAGAGATCTAAACATAAAAGCTAAAACGATAAAACTCTTAGAAGAAACATAGGGCGAAACTTCACAACATTGCATTTGGCAATGATTTCTTGGGTATGACACCAAAAGCATAGGGAACAAAAGTAAAACAGATACACTGGGCTTAATCAAAATGAAAAATTCCCATTCATCAAAGGGCAATATCAACAGAGTAAAAAGGCAACCCACAGAATGGGAGAAGATATTTGCAAGTCATATATTTTACGAAATAAAATATATCCAGAGTATGTATTTGTTTTTTTTTTTTTTCAACGTTTATTTATTTTTGGGACAGAGAAAGACAGAGCATGAACGGGGGAGGAGCAGAGAGAGAGGGAGACACAGAATCGGAAACAGGCTCCAGGCTCTGAGCCATCAGCCCAGAGCCTGACGCAGGGCTCGAACTCACAGACCACGAGATCGGGACCTGGCTGAAGTCGGACGCTTAACCGACTGCGCCACCCAGGCACCCCATACCCAGAGTATGTAAAGAACTTCTATAACATTCACGAAGCCAACAACCTAACTCAAAAATGGGCACAGACTTGAATAGATATTTCTCCAAAGAAGATACACACGTGAAAAAATACTTAACTGATCATCAGGCTTCAGACGTGTGCGGCCTGCCGCCAACAGGCCTGAGGCCACAGCCAGAGGTTCCTGGGGGGGAAAGTGGGACCCTGCTGCTCCCCTTCCTCTCCCAGGTCCCAGAGTCCCCTTGCCACCGCCAGTTACCTGCACCCCAGGCTCTGTCTGGGGCCTTTCAGGCCTGCGGAAGGGTGTGTGTGTGTTGGGGGGGGGGGGGGGGGGGGTAGTTATGTGCGAGTGTGTGAGTGTGCATGCATGTGCAGGTGTGTGACCATGTGAAAATGAGTGTGTGCAGGCGTGTGACCATGTGAGAGCACATGCATACGAATGTGTGAGCATTTGTGAGTGTGTGTACTTCCCCAAACTGCTTCAGTCCGGCATTTGGCCACAGGATCCCACGGAGGGGATGCGTTTCTGTCCTCGCCAGCCTGGGATGGCCAGAGATGGCCTCATTTGACTTGTCTGGAAAGGGCACTGGGCCCATCCCTCATTCCATGGCTTTCTCTCCTGGCTTTGGAAAGATTTCTGAGCACAGTATTCCGGGCAGCTCCTCTCAGACCATGACACTGAATATGGCTTCAAGCACAAAGGCATTTTCCCTGCATGCGAAATCCCCTTCCTCTCTTCTTTCCTGACATCCCTGTGGCCCGGGCACCCGCAGCCGTTGCTGACCCCCTCCTGGCCACCAGCAGCACAGAAACAAGTTACGGTCTAAGTTGTGCAAACAGAGACCAGGCTTTCTGGGGCTTCTCAGAAGGGGTGGGGGCGTCACACCCTTTCCAGCCCCCCAGAACCATGTCCTACTTGGCCGGACACCCCGGTGTGAGTGGGGCCGAGAGGGCAGAGTGCTTGAGAGGGTGCGGTCCGGGGCCGCGTGGGCCAGGTTTGTGTTCCAGCCTCTGCCCAGTCTGCCATCTGGCAGACGTCCTCTTTAAGCTCCCATTTCCACAGCAGTAAAATGAAAACTACTCATACACGCTTATTTTATAAGACTGTAAAGACTAGGAAAGATAAGGTATTCAGTGCATGGCCTAGTGCAGGGTTCCCTCCTCTGGCCCCAGAGCCAGGCGGCCCTGTGTGGGAAAGGCACGGCCCTGCTCAGGGTCTCTGTGGTCCTCTCTACCCCGGAGGCATTGGCGGCCACCCAGTGGCTGAAGCAGAGAGAGAAGGGAGCCAAGCGGAGCCCTTCCCTTCTCCCTCTCCTTCCTTTTCCCATCGGGGCTCAGTGGTCAGGGCCGGCCCAGGCTTGGGCTGCCGCTGGCCTTCTGTTGGAAGGGGACACAGGGCAGGCACACACCTCCCTCCAGCAGTCGCCCACCCCCCCAAACATCCAGGGGCTGCTCCCCCAGCCCTGGGCATCCATTCCCAGATGGGAGCACCGAATGTTTAGCCAGGGTCTCCAGGAAAAACACAGGCGGGGGTCGGGGTGTTGAGGACCCAAAAAAGGGAGCTTGACCCTCTTTGCCCAGGAGGGGAAGGCAGGGCCAGGCTGTGTGTGATGCTCAGTCACAAGGAGGACACAGGCAGCTGAAAGAATGGAGCCCCTAGTTGGGGAGGCTGGGGTGGAGGCAGGGCAGGGATCGCAGGGACACAGGGCATTTTTAAGGAACTTGTGTTGATTTTTATTTTAAATTAAGGGATCTTTAAAAGTTACACCAACCACTTCTTTGGTTCTGGTGTTTTCTTGGAAGCTCTGGGGTGTGCATTTCAGGTGCTTAAGTGAGGTATGGCTGCAGCATGTTCCGCAAGAGCTAGCCATCACCAGCAGCCCCTGGGGGCAGGTGAGCAGGGCAGAGCTGTGGGAACAGCACCAGCCCGCAGAAGGGGCTAAATGTCACCTTTCAGGGCACCCTCTCCCCGAGAGCCCTTCGCCCCCAGGCTAGCTCCTGAACCTGCTCTCACTCCTCCCACTTCCGGGAGCTCCCTGGCATCCCTTCCTCCACCCCTACTTCCTCAGATTCTCCGTCATCTGTCACAGAAGCTCAGGGGGTAGTGCCACTAGCAGATTCACAATTCGCTTCCCCAGGAGCAGGGAAGGTTCATGAAAACAGAGCCTAACACAGCTATTTGTGGAGCCACTGAGAAGCGCCTCGATGGATGAGTGACCTTAAGGTGTGAGAGGTAACGTATGTCTTTCCCCAGGCTGTGGGGCAGGGGCTCTATTGCCAGCAGTGGCTCTACGGACGCACCGTCCTTGGGTCTCGGGGTCCTGGAAGTGGAATGAGCTCCGCCTGCTGGAGCCAGACAGCCCTGGCAGAGTGTGGGAGGCAGCACTGACCCCCTGCTCCGAGTAAGTGGGCTGCCTTCGAGACAGAACCAGAGAAGGGCTCTCAGCTGCACTGATCCTGAGCAATCCCCGACACCAGGACGGGAGTAAGGATACCTGATGCTGTGCTAAGCGTTTTACCAGGATCATCTCATCTCTTCCTCATGATGGACCCAGGAAGGAGATGATACGGTCATCCCCCTGGTACAGATGATGAAACAGAGGCGTTTCATCATCTGTACCGTACAGATGTAGGCGTACAGATGATGAAACCTGAGAGGTGAAGGCCACATAGGCAGGGAGTGGTGATGCCCCGGTTGCACTAGCCTATCTGTGCTGAGGATATTTCAAAATGGAGAAGACAAAAGGAGCAGGGGCAGGAATTTGTGTGTGGGTCCGCACAGGGGGTCTGGGTCTAGAAAACCCTGAACGGCTCCCCTGCCTCGTCTCTGGGAGGCAGAAGGCTTGGGAGGCAGTCCCAACTCAGCTATTTTCTGTGTTGCCAGTGGCTCTCCCTTTCCGGAACCTTGGTCTCCTCATCTGTATAATGGGACTGTGCCTGTAAGTTCTTCACAGGGCAGAACGCTGAGCATTCAAAAGTCCAACCCGAAGGCGGGGCTCACGAGGCTGCAAGGGAGATGGGCACTTGGGGAGGAAAGCGAAGACTGAGGATTCAGCCCCCCAGGGCCTGTGGAGACTGAAAAGGAAAAAAGTTCAGCAAAGACTCAGCACGGCCCACAAACGGTCCCCTCAGCGCTCCTTTCAGGGCTACTGCAGCTGCTTGCGGGTGGAGCCCCGGTAAGAAGGACCCGCGAACCGCGAGAAACAGAAACCTATCCCTCGTGAATACCCAGACCAGCACACAGGTCCCGTCCACACAGGCACATGTTCCTTTGGTTTTATTTTCACCAACACACGATGGCTCTGCCACACCTGGGAAATCCTGGGCTCTGCGTGTTCCACCTGCCCTCTCTTTCCTACCTGGACAGGGCCACAAAGAAGTGTCCAAACCACGTGCAGGCACGAGACGCGCTGGACAGAGCAGTTCCATCTCATAGCTTATAATGATGCCATTTCTCCAGTTGCTAAAGAGCTTTACAGAGACCACGCCAGGACTCCCCCCCCACCAGGATGCTGGAGCGTGTGATTCGTGTCTTGTGAGCTCCACAAAACCTCAGCTCCCTTTTCCAGAGCACTTGGCATGGGCAGGAAATTCCACGTTTGGGACAGGGCCTTTTTGGAAGCAACTCTCAGGCAGTGACATCCAGGTCTCTGCATGGAGTAGGTTACCAGCCGCGTGTGGGGGGAAAACAATTTAAAGGACATCTCTTTCTCTCCTCCCTCCACCCACCCAGGGCTCAGATCTCATTATGGTGCCGCCCAGATGCACTGAAGTGTGTGTGATATTTGGTTTCAAAAACATTCAGTCTCTTTGGTAAACTCAGAGAAAGTGGCAGGGAGCTGCCGAAGTGCGTTCTTCCTACATCTTCCGCACTAATGCTTCATCCTCTCTAATAGCCGCTGATAGACAGGAGCTGGAAGAGAGAAGTTTCAAGGTGAGATGTGCAAACTGCCCCTGTCTGTCAAGACACTGTCAGAGTCACAAGCGCATGGCCGGCGGCCCCTTCCGCCACTCTCTCCCGCACATCCCGGGTGCTTTTTGGTTGGTGAGCCTTGCTGTCTCACTCAACAATGTTCTGAACTGGGATTTTCTCCGTCTTCCAGCTGGGTTCCCAAAGCCAAAAACTCGCAGCAAGCCTAAAATGTTGGTACTCTTATTATCTCCATCTTATGGAGAAGGGAAGTGGGTGTTCTGCGTCTGACCCCAAAGGCCAGGCTGGTTTTATTGCACCATGACGTTCTTATCTATATATACAGCAGATGGCATGTTTGGGCCTGCTTGGGGGAAAGGCCCAAACTAGTTAGTATACAAGGACTTCAAATCCAGGCCAGACTTACCTAGTTTCACAGAGGTCCGGGCGGCCTGAAAAAACAAACAAACAAAAAAACGCACAAAGTGTCAAGTTTTCCGGTGAAAGCTGTCCCTGCATGTGTTCACAGCGATGGTTTTGCCCCCTGCCACACTACTCACAAAAAATGCCAGGGAGAGGAATGGGAATGTGTAGCTGCTGGGCCCCAGGGAGCCCCTCAGTCAGTCTCAGCAGCCCCAAGTGAAGTGTAAGCCCCAACCAACTAGAGTCTGGGGTGGATATTCCTGGGAGACCACAAAACCTGACTTCCACAGAGACCAAAGCCTAGGAGAGCTGGGACGGCACAGGGGATGGCCCTGAGGAGTAGAAGCTCAGAGCCAAGAACCCTTCTCAAGGGGCACTGAGGAGACCTCTCTGTCCAAAAGCAGAGGACATATTCCAGCTCTGGGTGGGTCTCTGGGGTAAGAACCACCTCCAGCCGCACCCTCTTGTCTTCTGTAAGGTGCCCATATTCCCAAGGGGCTCCACCTCACTCGAAGCAGCAAAGGAGCCTGAGTGGGGCTTCTAGGAGGCCCTGGGCAAGCTGGGGAGCAGGAACAGAAGCCCAGGAAGAATCACAGAGGCTCTGCGAGGAAAGGGAAGCTGGAGCAAGGAAGGGAGGTTTCACACATACACTTGCCCTGTATCCAGAATCCTCACCACTACCCTGAAGAGCCCCAGCATCACCCAAGATGGGCCACATCATGGAAACCAGAGGATGACTTAGAGGCCACACTGTAAGGCTGATTTGGGATGGGTTGCCCTAGTTGGATAGATGGATTCTAGAGCTTTATCTGTTTTCACCAGCATTCTATGGGCTTCCCCATAGAATGAGGTTCAGAGGCCTTGGTTTATAGGCCTGGGTTTTGGCCCACAAAGGATACAGGGGCTGCCTGGGTTCTTTTCTCTGAACTCCACACAGGCCAGTGCTAAGGATTCCTGAATGGGAGTGAGGAGAAGTTTCACGGGAGCCCTGGGAGGGCAGCCAAGGAAGACAGGGACCCAGAGGGCCCTCCCCCACCAGGGGCCCAAGCAGAGGCACCAAGGGTGCTGAGGCCACAGGCAAACCTAGCCGCGTCTTACCCTGGAATATGCAGACGCCTGTTTGAAGATTTCAAGTGCAGAGTCTGCAAGTTCATCCCCTCGTTCCTGAGGTCTGATGGCTGGCGATGAAAGAAAAGGCAACTTTGGTGAGAGCAAAACTATTAGCACGGCATTCATAGCGACCGTGACTGAGGGGCACTGTTGGGTTTCCTGCCTCACATTCGCCAATGAATTTTTCCTTTAAAATTTTTCATAACTGACAGTGGATGGAATCTGGCCCATGGGGAGAGAGCTCCAAGAAAGGTGAACGCACAGTGCAGACAGAGGCTGGACTCAAGTTCAACTTTGCTGGAGGTAAAGAGAGCTCCCATGAGGCGAGATGTAAGAAGCGTGCTTGGAACCACGTTCCCAGCATCCACGTGTGAGAAAGCCGCGTCTGTGTCTGTGTCTGAGTGGGGCGAAGACAGCCAGGCAATTCAACAAAAAGAAATCTGGCTTGAGTTTCTGGGGTAGCGCGTTTGAAACCAACAGTGCCTAATTCACTTTTGGATCAGCCACAGCGATGCTGGCCACGGACCCTCTGTGGGCACGTTGCACACTAATCTTTGCTTCGAACAGTTTTCCTGTCGAGTACCAGCTGCTGTGTGGAGAAGAGTCAGCCGCAGACTGCGGGGCCATGGGATACTTGAGGGCCTTACCTGGAGGCTGCAGGACACTAGAGATGGCATAGACCACGCCATTTGTGGCCATGATGTCAGCTTCAGCAACAGGCTCCTTATTGACATTCACTACATTGTTTTTCTGGGAGAAAAAGAGACCACTGTTGAACATAGACCGTAGGTATCTTACTTTCAGCAAGTGCTCACTGAGCAGTTCTGGATGCCAGAGCCTGTGCTAAGTGTGAGAGACACCTGGTGAATGGAACGGTCCCTGCCAGCCACACCTTCAGTCGGGCGGACTCTTTCTGATCCCTTGTGTGCCTCAGCCCGGTGTAATTTACAAAACACCCTTCCGTGCTAGTCACTTGGTCCTCACAGTGACATGTGGTAAAGACACAGATGTCATCGTCTCACTTAGCAGAAGAGAAACAGAGATTCAAGAGAGGCCAGGTGCCTCCTTTAAGCTAAGCGGGTGGGATGGCTGGGAACAGAAGCTGGGCCTCCAGTTCTGGTTCAGGGCTCCTTCCTTCCACTCATCCTCAGTGCCTTACCTCTCCCATAGGAAGAGCACCCGGGTGTCTCTCTCTGTCCTTCCTGAACCTCAGGTGTCATCCCAAGGGGGAAGGAAGAACAGAAGCCTGTGACGGCATCCCAACACCCCAAACGAGGAGCTGGGAGATTCTCAGGTGACCTGCAGAAGTCAACTAGTCATCACATTCCTACCCCTCGCCATGCTTCCTCATGGGGAAAGTGATATGCAAAGGGATGGCGGAAGGTCGGGAGAGAGGAGCAGGCAGCAGAGGCCGAGCCAGCCACATACTGGAAGAGCGGTCCCTCCATGGGGAAGCCCAGTGACCTTGCCAGGTGCAGCCAGGGAGGCCACGGGCAGCTTCACGGAGCGGGGCCAGCTATCTGTTCTCTCTCTTCAAGGTAAGAACCCCCTGAGGCAGCTTCAGAGCGGAATGTGTGTTATCAAAGTGCAGAGCAAGGGAAAGCTTGCAGACCAAGCATCTGAAGGAAAGGGCTCTTGGGATGGTCTGGCACGTGGTACAGCTCAGTGAGCCCCAGACTGGAAGGGATGGGGCGGGAAGGGGCCGGGGGGACTGATCCCTCAAGATGCGTAAGTAATTGCCTATCGTCTCTTTAAGGGGAGGAAGATCTAATGTTCTCTCCCAGAGGCCAGTCGGATACTTGATTCCTGAGCAAATCCGCGAGTTCTTATTGTGGGCCGCCACAGTCTCACCTCATTTCCCTGAAAACCCTTTTCTCTTTTCTTTCTTTGGACAGAATGCACTCAGAGATTCAAGGTGCATCTTCAAGACTGTGTGTGTGTCTAAGGCTGGCCCAGGGGCAAG